CCACGATGGGTGATCACCGCCTGCACGATTAGACTATGCTTATGGTTCTGCTTGGTTTATCCGTAATAGGGAACCATACTTATTCTAGGAGTGATCATGCTTGGTATATCAGCGATAAGTGATCATTACCTGGAGTTAGGATATGGTCCTGCTTGGTATATCCGCGATAGAGGACCATACGTATTTCAGGGGTGATCATGCTTGGTATATCCGCAATAGGTGATCATTACCTGGACGATTAGATTATGCCTATGGTCCTGCTTGGTATATCCGCAATGGGGAACCATACGCATTCTAGAGGTGATTAGGATTAGTTGTACTTGGTACATTTCGATAGGTGACCATATTTTAGTTAGATTCTGTTGAGTGGTTTAGAATCCCTATTCTTGCTCATTTCCATAAGGTTAGTCCAGCCCTAGATTCGAGTGAATATGAATTGCTCACAGACAGTCAAGGTTCTAAAAGATGCTAGGTGCTAGTCGAGCAGCAAGCTGGGGCCTAGCTCCTAGGCGGACTAGGATGATTTAAGTAAATATATTATATTTTATGTAAATAAGTGTCTATTTATACTTAAAATATATATAATTTCATTATAAACTACAAAATAGAATGACATATATATTAGGAAGTATTTCAACATAATGAAAACATGTATATAATGTATATTCATTTAAGTATTCAACAAGTCTCTTACAATTTATTGAAAAAAAAAAATATGCAAAATGAAAATTATCTATTTTCTAAGTGAGTCGCAACTTCAGCGAGTGCCTGGGCGTGTCTCGGCGGGTGCCTAGGCAGTCTCGACGGGCGCCTCAGCAGGTTTAGACACCATTTTTTAATTTTCAAATGCCTAGGCATTAATCAGGACGGTGGCCAACCGCCTAGCACTTAGGCGAGGCTTAGGCAACGCTAGGCGGGGATTTCTAGAATAGTGCTCACAGTAGATGTTGTGTTTCTAAATTAGATTTGTCATATTATTGCTTGGAATCCAAGTAGGGAATTATGTAGAATTCCTTTATTAAATTTCATGAATTGATATGTGATCTTATTGATTGATTAACGTAATTAAATGTTAATATTGTGCATCTTTGATTCTTGGGATTGATTAATTGGAGTGATTGTGGAATGATGTTGGATATGATTGTTTTTACTATGATCATATTTGTTCACCAATGTGGCTAGAGAATAATATTATGCTTCGTTGGTTTTTTTTCCTTTTTTGAGATGCTGCATGCTATAAATTGTGGTATTATGTTGAAACATAGTGATTTATATGATGGATGAAGTGGAATTCTTGATCGTCATGTGGGTTTGCTATGTAGCCCTGAGCCTAGTAATTTCATCATTGTCAAGTTCTAATAATTCATTGAGGAATGCTATGCTTTTCTACTTGAACGTACTGTGATAAACGTTGAAGTGTAGTAAAAGGTGAACTATGAATGGCTTGATCCCTTCTTAGGGTACGCAGGCAATCTAACACAAGGTTAGATGCAGCCATGAAATAAAGAAAATGACTACGTGGTTAAATCGTTGATTGTGTTTTGGTCTTGTCTTGGAGGCGAGACATGATAGACAAACAAGAATTTGGCAACATCACATGTCGATCTTGGTCATATGTCAGGATCGGGGCGTGACATTTCGATTCTTTGTTTCATAGGCTTCAATTTGATATATCAGGTTGCTACTTTTAGTTGAGATTTGAAGCTAAACGGAGCCGGGGAAGTTTCCCGACCAAATTTCCCAATGTTCAGCCTTCTTCTTTGTTGGGTCCGGTCGACTTGCAAGCCCAAACGGGTCAACCTAATCCGAGAGAAAAAAAGGGCCCAACCGGATCCATGGGCCCATAACTTGATCCGGCCCATTTCTAAAATGGACCTAGAATATTCCTAGAATATTCTCTAGAATTTTCCTTGCTTTGACTTTTTCAAAATTTTCTCGAAAACCCTCCAAAGCTAAATTTGAAGTCCCGAGTCCATTTTTGGCATCCATTTAGTGAAATTTTGAAGTTTTAACGTAGTTGACCGGCTCGACTTCTCCGTTAACTTTTTAAGGTTGATTGTTGACTTTTTATAAAATTTGTCGGGACCCTTCTTAGTGTATTTCAACGCGCTGATTCTGAATCCGTTGTTCGTTTCTCCAAATTCAAACGTTTTAATTGAGTTTTACTAATGGGTCTCGATTATGCTTAGGTGCGATTACTATCAGAGACCCCAACTTTGCTCGTTTGAACAGTTACGACTTTGCAAGTATCTGTGAATGGGTCTTTTCTTTTATATAGTACATATATGTATATATACTTGTTTAGTTTTCATATATACATCTAATAACGAAGTTCCTACGTGATTTCCATAATTAAAATAACGTTTATAAGAAATGTCGTATCGTTGGGGAATTATGAAATAATCATACGGGATGCACATGTAAGATTACTATAAGGGGATGCCTTAATTAGATTTATGATTATGAATAGCTTTATGTTGACTAGAACTATCAAATAGCTATGGCATGACTATATTTATGTTATCTGCACATCATGTGCAACACTGGTGTTTGTACTTGCTTGGGCTAGGGCCAGTCTTTCAAGTGTATGTTCACATCGCATCGTACACTCACTTTTGATCCATTATAGGTGCCAGTCCTATCCTAGATTGCTATAGGTAGTTAGGAATCATATGTGATGCACATAGCACCAGCCTTCACGTGATTGTAGTACTAGAGCATAAATCATGATTACACCCGATCCTCTTCATATCAGAATATCTTTGCATGAACTCGTGTGTCAACATATGTCAATGAGCACTTAATATGATATATTTGTTATGTGAGATTATGTGATTATCGAACATTAGGTGTTTATTTATGAAATATTATGGTGTATATTAATTCTGGAAATATTGATGGCTATGGTAAGTAATTTCATACTATACGTAGTATGTATATTTTAGAAACTATAATACTTGTTTTATGGTAAGGGGTTATTATGTTTTCGAAAAGGTTTTTACAAAACTTTATTTTTAGGCCCACTCACCCTTGTTTTTCGCCCCTCTAGGTTCTAGTAGCAAAGCTTTCGTATTGACAAGGATTCTTGGCAATTATTGGTATAGGTGATCACCTTCGATGGTATAATTCCTATTCTACCTTTACTGTGTTTTACTTACGCTCTGACATCACGTGTGAATTGGGTTCATTCCTGCTCACTAACGCACTCTTACATATAGGCACTTTTAGGTTTAAATTTACTCATATTTTTCATATCACTACACTTTATGGCTTCGTTACCCTCAAAGTGTCGGCCAACACAGCTCGATTCGGAGTTCAAGTGGACATTCCGAATCGGGGTGTGCCAATGAGGATCTCTGGCAGATTTTGACGTTCACTTTTGATAATGTAGGAAGTTATTTCTATTATCTTCGTATAAATATTCTTTCTATTTCTGCACTTTTATTTATGCTTTGACACTACATGCATTGTAATAAAGGCTCATCCCACACTATGCACACTTAGTTTAATTTTATCTTGATATGAACAAAAAAAAAACCTTGTCACGCCCCGATCCCAACATACGTCGCAAATCGACACATGGCAAAGGAAAAATAACATTCATTGAATATGACATACCATACGGAATGAAATACTTTAATTGCAACCCAAACTAAAAAGAAGGCTCAGTTTTTCACAAGATATTTACAAATATGTACATTCCAAAAAGAAGCATAATTTTTTTTGCTTTACTAAGAACAAGTTTGAAATGCTTAAAAGAAAGTCCCAAAAGATAAAGTACAAGAGTGAATCAAGGGTAACCGAACGCTCCACGTCTCTAATAACCGCACTGCTACCCCTACCTACGGACTTCTCGGAGTCTACTCAAACCTGTCACCTGTATGATCAGTGTCTGGAGTCCGCGCTAATGCACCTTAGCACAAGAGTCAAGGCATCACGTTCTATCACCGCCTGTGGCCGAGTCCAATTTGGCCGGGAAGGCCCTCAAATTGGCTTGCACCCGTCGAAACCCTAAGGTAGGTGTTCTTCAATTCGGCTTCCTTGGTGTTCCAACGCCCTACCCACCAGTTGGATTTTGTTCTTGGGTCCAAGGGAAGTTGATTAAGGGTGATGGTGAATGGTGATACTCTCCAGAACGACAATTTGTCGTCGAGAACCCCTGAGTTCTCCTGTGGAGCTACCCGAATTAGGCCTTAAAAATCCTTGATTTTTTGTGGAGGTGTAAGGAAGAAGATAGTTGAGCAAGTTGCAGGTGAAGGAGATAGGAAAATCAGATGAGAAATGGAGGGATTGGCCTGAAATTGGCCGGTTTGAAAGTGTGCTGGTGGAGCACACATTTTCACAAATGGGGGAAGGAGGATTTTTGCTTTTGTCCTTTTAATTGGTCCTGTCTACCCTCCAAAAATCTGATTGTCCCCTTTTTATTATTAGACTAACTTAATCTTTAGCCCACATGTGGAAATTAAACAATTCCCACAATCTATAGTTCACAACTTCAAACGTCAGTAACTATACCGTTATAATTCGGACTCGCAAACGGTTTTCCCCTATACGTTCGTGGGTTTGAGATCTATTTAAAAACACTAGTTGTAACTTCGAAATATCAACGAAAGACAAAGATTGATTAAGAAACTTCCGACTCGATAACTAATCAATTACTAAACTTATAATTAGCGGAATTAAAATTAACTAATAAAGATAACGTAATCGCGAAATACGAATTTAAAATACAAAATACGTAATAAATGATGAAATTCTGGGAATGGGATTTCACAAAACTACACTTAGTAAAGGGACATAAACCTTACCCTTCTCGAAAAAGAAAATACAAGAAAAAGATGGGACATAGGTCCAAAACCCTCTAAAATTCAATATATACTAAAACTCAAATATAACTGAAACACTGTTCATAAGCACAGTGTGTTTCTTTTTTTGCCTCTATTAGGTTTTTGTTATTATAGGTATGCCATTGTTTTACAAATTATATATATTGATCTTTTTTATTTCTTTCTTTCCTTTCTTCTCCGTTCTCTCTCTTTTCTCTCGCTCCTTTCCGTGACTTTGCTAGCAACGACAACAAGCTGTTGCCGTCCGAACGCCGGCGAATTAGACCTCATTGTTACTGCCAGTCATCTCCCGTTCATCTCAGGAACAAGAAACAGCTGTTGCATGCCTCGAATCGTTACTGTTTCGACGAAGGTTTTCGAAATTAACCCCAATTGTATTTCAATCTCTCTCTTTCTGCATTTTCGATAGGTTACAGTTTTCACGTTCTATTGATTATGAATTCTGATATGTTGCGTTCAATTTGGGTTTTTGGAATTTTGAATTTGTACCCTATTTCCTATTTTCCAAAATTATTCCCTAATTTCACATTTTTCATTTTGTACAGGCGTGGGTGGGACGCGTAATTCTACAACCTCTTCAAGGTGTACACGCAGCTAGGAAAATTTCAGCAAGAAAAATCCCCAGAAACTCCTCCTCCTGTTCTGTCATTGATATCTCAGCTCTGTCTCTCTCAATCTTGAGGTACCTGACGTTGGCTTCCATTTTCGATCTGAAATGTATAATTATTTATTTGAGTTTGCTGGGATTTATTCAATTCAACCGGGGTGGGTTTTTCAGTTGTTTGGATTAATTTTTTTTATCAATTTAGGTTTCTGGGTTTTTTTTTGTTGGTACGGTTCATATGCAATGAAAAATTTATGCGTTCTTTTGATTCTTGGGCATGCATCAAGCTTCTGTCTTTTTTTGTTTTTTTTTTGTTTATGAAATCATGTTCAGTGAACTTATTTTCTCGGGGATTGAATTACCCAGATTGCCCAAATACACACACACACACACACATACTGTTTGAGAAGGCAATTAAAAATTTACTCATTTCTAGAATATGACGAAAAACATATTGTAACTGTTTTGTTTTATAAGAAAGTATATTATCATCATTATGTCATTGGCTATTCTTTGGAGAATTTGATTGCAAGTTCTTGAGGTTAGCAATTGTAATTAAGATAACGAAAAGATTTGGACTGTCAAATACCTACCATTTCAAAGAAATATACACTAAACCCAACAACATTCCTATGTTTTGTATAACAGGTTATTGAACGATACCATATTTCAAAAATATTTTAAAATGAGTTGAGGTAATGGATGCTTTGAAAATATTAAGACCCCTGAGATTTTCTTATTAATGTTTAGTCTATTTCATCTTTTTTTTTTTCTGTATGAAGTAATACAACATTTGTGGCTGCTTGAGAGCTTAAAATAAGCCTACAAGAGCTTTTATGATAGATATCTGGTTATGATATTGTAATGAAAAAGTTTGTCATATGATTGTGTCTCAATTGATTTAGTCCCATTGAAAAGGGATCAACTTTTTATCATTGTTTTAAGTATGCTATACACTGGCAAACAAAACTTTGTTCTACATCGCTCATATATATACATGTAATCACTTGATTTACCTATATTATGAGGTATTTGATATGGAGCAGACACAATTATATGACATTGTCGTACAATGCTTAAGAATGTCTAAAATTGAAGAATTTATATGCTTTGTATATATATATATATATGAAAACTTGGTTTTGATAGGCACCAAAAGTTTGGCCATAATAATTTGTCGTTACAGTAAGATTAACGATTCAATGGGGTTGTGTTTAACTTTTTTGGAGTTTAAATTAAAGGGTTGAGCTTGATGGCTTATAATTTTCTTTTTCACCTTTCCTTTCTGCATTCTGTGTAAAGTTCAAATGGATTCTTCAATATTTTTTTTTTTTTTTTTTTTTAGTTTTTTGGAGTTTTCTTCGGTAAAGTTTGGTTTTTTATGGTGAGTTCTTAACTGGGTTTTGCTTATTTTTCTGTCTCCAAATATAAGTTATTCGATGCTTTTTTTTTTCCTCTAATTTTTAAATTTATTTTTTTGCTATTTAGTGTGAGAAAATGGCTTCAAAATTGGAATTTCCAATATTTGGGCAAAGGACAACAGGAAGAGAACACCAATAGTGGTGACGATGGAGAATCCCTTCTTTGCAGTGGAAATCGACGATCTATGTGCAACATTCAGCGCAGTTTATAAAAGCAGGGGTCAAAATGAAGAATCAATGAAATGGGGATTTGTTTAATTTTATCAAGTTTTGTACTGAGGTAAAACTCCCCCCATTTAACATAGTTTTAAATGCTTTTTAGTATGTGTGTAAATAAGATTGTGAGCATGGTTGTATATATATATGTAGTAGTAGTAGTAGAATTAGAAACATTGTTATAATTATGGGTAACTAGAGTTGTAAACCTGCGGAATCGCGCAGACTTTGCTTGTAAAACCTAATAGGGACAAATTGGTATCAGAAATATACATATCCTCGGATTCTTCGTTATAAAAAGAAAATCGAAGATGTATGATGAGAAGTACAATCGAGTCTCTTCTAACCCTTCTTTTCACCATGGTCATAAGCATAGTAATCTTGACATGAAGCCTATCTTGTACATTGTCCAAGAATTTAAAATATGCATATCTCCATGTCTTCTTAACAATTAAAGAACCACACACTCCCCAAAATCCTACGATGAAACCTAGTACAGTGAAAATATACAACCATGGAAATTGATGTTCACTCTCCACACCTTGGTTGTTCTTACTATCTGCATCAATGCCCTTAATTGTTAGACACTCATTCGGAAGTGAAGAGCCACAGTTTTGAATTCCCCTCAAACGCAGAAGCATCAAAACTTTGGAGTTGAGTGCTTGTCGGGATTGGTCCTTCGAGATTATTGTACTAGACAATGAAAGATTTTAAGAAATTAAGGCTTGCCAATGACAATGGGATGTTTCCAGACAAATGATTCATGGAGAGGCGCAAAGTCTCTAGATTTTTTAGGTTGGATATTTGTTCTAGAATGTTGCCGGAAAAGTAGTTGCCACTAAGTTCCAAGTTGTGGACAAGGTGTATTTGGCCGATCTCATTAGGTATTCTGCTGTGAATGTGATTGAGAGAGAGGTCTATTGTTGGTGGAAAGCTAGACAATCTTCGTTGGTTTGCAGCTGTGAAGATAGGGAGGTCAAAATTATCGTCTACTTGATTTGTGGTCGGCTTTTCATGTACCAACGTTGGTAGTCTATAAAGTTCTTTCGAAAATTCACTGGAAAATTGGTTGTCTGCCTGTCTGCCAAGCTCAAGTGAAAGAGTTTGGGAAGAGTCCCAACGATCTAGGAATTGGCCCTGTAATTCTGCTACCTCTCAAAACCAAGATCTCTACATTCTTGAGTTTGATAACCATAAATGCATTTGACCAATGAACTCACAATAATAAAAAGTCAACATTTGAAGATTTTGGAACCCACCGAAATCAACCATGCCTTCATCAGCTGATGAAAACGAAAAGCGGAGTATTCAAAGACTTTTGCAATACATTAATATTTTCATTGCCCCAGTAATGTTGGTTAAGTCACTTAGTGCGAGAAAGGTCAAAGATTTCAATGAAAGAATTTCAGGTTGTATTTTTCCCTCTATACTTTTTGCAGTCAAACGAATAGCTTTTAGGGACTGGCATGAATAAAAGCTTGTTGGAAATGTACCAGTAAAGTGGTTTTGAAATAGGTCAAATTTACTGAGATGACTGAGTTTCGATAAGTTGAGCATGGAGATATCTCCTCCCAAATTGTTGGCTGTCATATGTATTTCTACAAGGTTCGTGCAATTCATCAATGATGGGGGCAAAGAACCTTCAAAATGGTTGTAATCAAGAGCCAAGATTTTCAATTTGGAGAGCTTCCCAAAATGGAGAGGGAGCACGCCACTCAACTGATTAAAGGAGAGGTCAAGGATTGCAAGGTTGGTGAGGTTGAAAATTTTCTCACTTATGTCTCCATGGAGTGAATTGGAAGGGAATGCAATTTCTTCAAGTTTAGTGGCATTGTAGATATCCTTCGGGAGTAGCCCTGAGAGGATATTGTTACCAGAACGAAAAATTTGCAGTTTTGAACACTCCCCGAGTCCAGGAGAAATGTTACCACTGAATGCATTGAGGGAAAAATCCAACAGCCTAATGAAGGGAGAAGAAATAAGACATATAGAGGATGGGATCAAACCTGAGAAGCTATTGTTTTGGACGTTGAAACTAGTTAAATTATGAGCTCATTGAAAGAATGATGATGGAATTGCACCATGGAAGCGATTGCTTGATAAATCCAACGTCTGTATATTGTGGGATGACGGAAAAAACGGTAGCTTTCCAGAAAGAAGATTAAAGCTTAAATCAAGGATCTCAAGACGATTCAAAGACGAGAAGAAATCAGTTTCAAGTGATCCGGAAAGTGAACGGTGAGAGAGATTCAAGTAGGTGAGGTGTATGAGATTTCCTAGTGATGATAATGAGAGGGAAATAGCTCCTTTGAGACCCTTGGAGGATAAGAGCAAATGGGTGACCAAACCATCCCGATTACAAGTGATGCCCTTCCAACGACAATAGTTAACTGAAGTCCAATTTAAAGGGCGAGAAGATAAGGTGGAGGCGAAGGACAGAAGAGAGGCACGCTCAGTTTGGTTGCATGCATGAACATTTGTGGAGATGATGTGAGAGAATAAGAGGATGAGAAGGAAGTCATGAGCCATTGGGTTAGAAAGTAAGCCGCTCTAGCGTAGATATGTTTCTTTACATTCAGAATTCTCAAAGGTATATATAGAGCAACTAATTGCATACACAGTCCAAAGTTTTTCCTGTCTTCTTCCTTTTAGCCAGCAAACGATGAATCATTAAAGCTCGAAAACATCTCTGCAATCTGAAAATTTTGCAAACAACCATAACCATACAAATGTTCTGAATTAAGGAGGGGCCAGTGGCCACCATGAAGGGACCCGAGCTTATGCCTTTTTTTCTACACGGTTATTTAAAAACAAAACGGAGCTTTAATTTAGGGGAGCAGAAGAATATGAAGTGACACCCGTGCAGTTTTCGTACATACGTGTTGTTTAGTACTATCAACATTTCATATTTGGCGTGCCAAAACTTGAATTGACCCAACTGAACAACTATTTTAAACATATCTATTCTAAAATGCAACATAGAAGTTATCTAGTTTCTGATTAGTGTCACCTAAGCAGTATAGATGGGTGCCTAGGTAGGTGTAGGCGCCGTTTCTTATTTTTAAACGCCTAGGATTTAATCATGGCGGTGACCAACCACCTAGCATCTAGGCGGGCTAAGACGGCCCTAAGCGGGACCTTTTAACATAGCATTTCAAGTCTACGACAGGCCATGTTTAGCAAATTAGACGAAGACAACATTCAAAAGCACTAATGCCTTTCCTGCTAGGTAGTTGAAAAAAAGAACAGAACATTTGAATTTTGGGGAGTATAGCTAAAATACAACGACGCCTATCGATGGTTACATATAACTGTAAACAATATCAAAGTGTCGTACACAGAAAATGCATGGCCTGAATTACCTCACAGTAGTCATACAAAATATCAAATATTAAAATATGAACCAAAAGAACAAAATCATAAAACATAAGAAAATCCTAAAACTAACCAGATTATACTTCGGTCTATGAATTGACTCAATTGAACAACTTAGCCATGCAGTCTTCCGAATCGTGCTATGTTAATTCCCTCTTCAGTCTTTTTTGGTCCGAGTAACATCAACAATGTATTGATTCAAGTGCTGACCAAATATTTTGGTTGAGAATGACTGACATGCCGTCGTGCTTCTATACCCATTCCCTGAGCCATGTGCGGGTCTATTATGAATTTAGTCGTAGCCAAAGAGACCTCTCTTCGGTTACAGTCACACAGAAATCCCGTTTCACGATTCTTAACTCTCTACAGTGCCCCCACTGTTGCACGCAATGACAGGTTTATGAGCAGCTATTGCCTCCAGAGGTACAATCCAAAGTGCTCATCCTGCAGTTTTGAATATCTCACATCAATTTAATTTTCCCCACAATATCTAATCAACAGAACAAAATTATGTGATTTTCACCTTTGGTTATAAAGGACGCATAGGCATTGGGAGAGAAGTGCATTTCTTTCTGCTATCGAGCAAGAGGTGATGAAGTTAACTTGATTGGACACTCCTTCCCTTTCTACTAGACTTCTGAGCTCCTCTAAGTGCTCAACATTTTCTCTTAAACGATTATCAAAGCCACCTAAAACATGTTGTGCTACAATAGCACCAAACCAATTGGAACCAACTCAAGCTAACCCACAGGAAATATATCAAATGAAATGCAAGAACAAAATATCAAAGACACCAACATTTTAACGAGGTTCCTCAACAGTCAGTTTAACTGGAGTACGTCCTCGGAGCAGTAGGAGCTCATCCAATAATTCGTTATCAACCAAATGGGAGTTTACAAAATGTTGGCAAGCTCACAACCTAAAACCCCAATACAACCAATAGCTCTCACACACCAAAGAAACAAATAGAGAAAGAAATATAGTGATTAATTTCTTCTCTATACAAAGCTCAAAACTAGTACAACAATAAAACTTTGATGGAGTGAGAACTAAACAATGAGAGGGCACACTTTCTTCTTCTCCCCAATACAAAGCTCAAAGCTACTGAAAAATCCAATCTGTGCTCTTTATTTTCTGCTACTATGTGGCTACCCTTGCTCTCTCAAAGATGGGCTAATAAAACAAATGTGCTCTCCATCTTCTCTGTCACATTTGGATGCTAAGTTTCATCCTTTTTAAAGCACCCAAAAACAAAACCAATAATAAGACTACTTGCTAGCCTTTACCTTTTTTTTCTACAAACATCATCATGACCCATTTTATCTTTTCAACAAACATAATGAGGTTGTCTACTTCCTTTTGTTTATTTTATTTAGCCGAAAGTTGTTTTGTCATTTGGCCATAATTCAACAATCTCCACCTTGGCCAAATCCTGAAAACGCCATGACGAGCCAACCAACACAAAGATTACTCCCAAACACTAGCAAGAGAACAACTCATGCCGAGCCAAATGCTCCAAAAACTCCTACTGCTCAACGTCTTCTTTATATAGGCAAAATGTGAGCCAAGTTCAAACAATGAACAAACTTGGCTACACCAATAACCTTAGTCAACATATCAGCGGGGTTGTCTTTAGTTGGAATCTTCTAGAGAATAATCTCTCATTCACCAATGACTTCACGCATAAAGTGATAACGCACATTTATGTGCTTGGTTCTCGCATGATGAACCTGATACTTAGCCAAATAAATGGCACTCTGACTATCACAATGTACCTCCACCTGCTTCTGATCAATCCCCAAATCTCTAATCAGCCCATGTATCCAAATGGCCTCTTTTATAGCTTCAGCAACTACCATATATTCAGCCTCTGTAGTAGACAAGGCAACAGACGACTGCAAAATTGACCTCCAACAAATTGGCCCTTTAGCCATAGTAAACACATAGCCTGTAGTAGACTTCCTTCCATCCAGATCACCTGCATAATCTAAATCAACATAACCAACTACAAAATGACCAATACCAGAGTCATCTGTCTCAAAGCATAAACCAACATCTCAAGTACCATGGAGATACCTCAATATCCATTTAGCTACTTGCTAATGCTCTTTACCTGGATTATGCATATATCAACTCACCATGCCAACCGCATGAGCAATATCCGATCTAGAGCATACCATTGCATACATCAAACTACCAACCAAATTTGCATATGGTATATTTTTCATTTGCAGCTTCTCTTTATCAGTTTTAGGACATTGTAAAGAACTCAATTTAAAATGAGGAGCCAAAGGGGTACTAACCGGTTTGGTTGAATCATGAACTCCAAACTTCCAAATCAACTTTTCAAGGTATTGTCTTTGATTCAAACTGATCAAACCCTTCTCTCTATCTCTATTGATCTCCATGCCAAGGATCTTCTTCGCTTCACCAATCCTTCATCTCAAACTCATTCTTCATTTGCTTCTTCAATTTCTTAATCGTTTCGACATTCTTTGAGACAATCAACATATCATCAACAAATAAATGAAAGACTCATCTTGCAACTTCTTCAAGTACATACAATGATCATATTGTTGAATTATGGCCAAATGACAAAACAACTTTCGACTAAATAAAATAAACAAAAGGAGGTAGACAACATCATTATGTTTGTTGAAAAGATAAAAAGGGTCATGATGATGTTTGTAGAAAAAAAGGTAAAGGCTAGCAAGTAGCCTTATTATTGGTTTTGTTTTTGGGTGCTTTCAAAAGGATAAAGCTTAGCATCCGAATGTGAGAGAGAAGAAAGTGAGCACCATTTGTTTTAGTAGCCCATCTTTGAAGGAGCAAGGCAGCCATATAGTAGCAGAAAAATAGATAGCACAGATTGGGTTTTCAGGAGCTTCATTTTGAAGAGAAGAAAGTGTGCCCTCTCATTGTTTAGTTCTCACTCCATCAAAGTTTTTATTTGTTGTAATAGCTTTGAGCTTTGTATAGATAAGAGATTATTCATTATATTTCTCTCTATTTGTTTCTTTGGTGTGTGAGAACTATTGGTATATTGGGGTTTTGGGTTGTGAGCTTGCCAACACTTTGTAAACTCCTATTTAGTTGATAGTGGATTATTAGGTGAGCTCCTACTGCTCCGAGGACGTACTCCAGTTACACTGATTGTTGAGAAACCTCGTTAAAATCTTGGTGTCCTTTATATTTTGTTTTTGCATTCCATTTGATATATTTCCTATGGGTTAGCTTGAGTTGGTTCCAATTGGTTTGGAGCTATCCTAGCACAACAATTGGTATCAGAGCACTGGTTGCTCTTGGGTACTGTCTAGTTGCCAAAGATGTTAGACGGGTCTTTTGGAGGCAGCTCCGGGTTTGCAAGAACTACGGTGCAAAATGCAAAGTTCGAAGTGGAAAATTTGATTGCACAAACAACTTTGGGATGTGGCAATGTGAGGTCAAAGATGTGTTGGCTCAACAAGATCTACTTGCCGTTTGGGAGAGAAGTCGCAAGCTATGTCTAAGCCGGAATGGGAAAAATTAAATTTGTGGGCTTGCTCTTCAATTCGGTTGTGCCTTGCAAAAACTCAGAAGTATTTTGTGATGCGAGAGACACTAACAAATGTGTTGTGGCAAAAATTGGAAGACAAGTATATGACGAAGGGTGCAGAGTACCGGCTACACCTGAAGAAAAAGCTATACCGCTTCCAATACAAAGAAGGTACAAAAATGATTAGACACCTTGATGCTTTTAATAAGTTGATTGCCGACTTGTTAAATTTAGATGAAGATATTAAGGATGAAGATAAGGCCTCAATATTGTTGAATTCTTTGCCGGACTCTTATGAGCATTTTGTTACCACTATTATGCATGGTAAATAAATTGTGAAATTTGAAGATGTGTCAAATGCCTTGATGAATTATGAAATGAGGCATAGAGATAAAAATCATGATAGTACCTCTGAAGCTTTATTTGTTAGAGGTAGATCATCGGAAAGGAGATCATCTTCTAGTAGGAAAAAATCACTCTCGACCTAGAGGAAACTCTAAAGGTAGAAAAACCTTGGAAAGGGATGAATGTGCCTTTTGTCATAATAAGGGTCATGGGAAGAAAGATTGTCCTAAGTTGAAGACCAAAGGAAAAGAAAGTTCTGAAACCAATGTTGTTGAGGTTGAAACAAATTTTTTTTATTTTGCTTTAACCACTTCCTCATCATTTGATTGTGCTACTAAATGGGTGTTGGATACGGGTTGTACTCATCATATGACTCCTCACAAGGATTGGTTTTCAAGCTTGAAAGAGTTTGATGGTGGTGTTGTGTTCATAGAAGATGACAATCCTTGTACAACAAAAGGGATTGGTACAGTTCGTTTGAAGTTGCATGATGACATGGTTAAAGAGTTGACAGGTGTTCGGTATGTACCGAATTTGAAGAAAAATCTTATTTCTTTGGGTATTTTAGAATCCAAGGGCTTAAGATTTCATTCAGATGAGCAGACATTGAAAGTTACTTATGGTGCACTTGTTGTAATGAAATCTTCTTGATGTGGTCATTTGTATCTATTGCAAAGAAGCACCGTAACAGGTGAAGCGTATATAGTCTCAGAAAATATGGGCACATTTGATTCAGATACTACTAGACTGTGGCATATGAGATTAGGCCATGCCAGTGAGAAAGCTCTACAAGAGCTTGTGAAAAAAAGTCTTCTAAAAGGTGCCACGACTTGTAAGCTTGTTTTCTGCGAGCATTGTGTCTTGGGAAAGCAAACTAGAGTGAAGTTTGGTACTGCAGTACATCAGACAAAGAGCATCCTTGATTATGTGCATTCGGATGTTTGGGGTCCTACAAAGACTCCCTCTTTAAGTAGTAGACATTGGTTCGTGACCTTTGTATATTATTCAAGAATGTATTGGGTCTACACTATGAAGCACAAGAGTGAGCTGTTGAGCATTTTCTTGGGTTGGAAGAAAATGGTTTAGAACCAGATTGGGAGAAAGATTAAAATTTTACGATCAGATAAGGGTGGAGAATACACATCTGATCCTTTCTTTAAAGTTTGCAAAGATGAAAGAATTGTGAGACATTTTATTGTCCGAGGAACTTCACAACAAAATGGAGTTGTAGAAAGATTGAATCAAACCTTGCTTGAAAAGGTTAGATGCATGTTGTCTCAGTCGGGTTTGAGCAAGTCGTTTTGGGCAGAGACAGTTACTTATGCATGTCACATTATCAACCGGTTACCCTCAGCTGCTATTCAGAGTAAGACACCAATGGAGGTATGGACTGGGAAACCTTCTGCTAATTATGATTATATTCATATTTTTGGTTCGCCTGCTTATTTTCATGTAATTGAAAATAAACTTGATCCTAGAGCCAAAAAGACTATCTTTCTTGGTTTTAGTAGTGGTGTCAAAGGTTACAGGTTGTGGTGCCCAGAGATGAAGAAACTTGTAATCAGCAGAGATGTGACATTTGATGAAGAAAGTATGTACAAAGACTCTGAGAAGAATGTGAAAGATGTCCAACGGGTGGAGCTTGAGAAAGTTGCCTCTGGTACTTCAAATCATATTCCGTTGATGTCAAAGCCACTACAAGTGAAGAAGTTGGAGACCATGAGGATGTTGAAGAAGTTGAACTTGAAGATTCTATTCAAATTGAAGAGCAAGTTTTACCTCAAGAGTCTATTGCCAAGAACAGAGGAAAGAGACAAATTACAAAGCTAGCTCGGTATAGTAACTATGTTGCTTTTGCTCTTCCTATTATCATTGATGATATTCCATCCAATTTCGAGGAAGCCATTGAGAGTGAGGAGAAGGAGAGGTGGTGCAATGCCATGGGTGATGAGATGAATTCTCTCTTGAAGAACAAGACTTGGGAGTTAGCTAAATTGTCTAAAGGCAAGAAAGCTATCGATTGCAAATGGGTGTATGCCATGAAGGAAGGTGCTGATGAGAAAAACAATGTGATATTCAAAGCAAGATTAGTTGCTAAAGGGTATGCACAAAAAGAGGGTATTGACTACAACGAAATCTTTTCTTCGGTTGTGAAGCATTACTTAAATGTTAGCTCTTGTTGCACAGTATGATCTTGAGCTTGTGCAACTTGATGTAAAGACGGCTTTCCTACATGGTGTTTGAATGAAGAGATCTATATGTGTCAACCGGATGGGTATACAATAAAAGGGAAGGAGAATTTGTTTTGCAAAGTAAAGAAATCACTTTATGGCTTGAAGCAATCTCCAAGGCAATGGTATTTGAGGTTTGATAAATTTATGAGATGCCAAAATTATTCTAGAAGTCAATATGATCATTGTGTGTACTTCAAGAAGTTGCCAGATGGGTCTTTCATTTATTTGTTGATATATGTTGATGATATGTTGATTGCCTCAAAGAATGTCAAAGAGATTGAGAAATTGAATAAGCAAATGAAGAATGAGTTTAAGATGAAGGATCTTGGTGAAGCGAAGAAGATCCTTGGCATGGAGATCACTAGAGATAGAGAAAAGGGTTTGATCAGTTTGAATCAAAGACAATACCTTGAAAAGTTGATTTGGAAGTTTGGAGTTCATGATTCAACCAAACCGGTTAGTACCCCTTTGGCTCCTCATTTTAAATTGAGTTCTTTACAATGTCCTAAAACTGATAAAGAGAAGCTGCAAATGAAAAATATACCATATGCAAATTTGGTTGGTAGTTTGATGTATGCAATGGTATGCTCTAGACCGGATATTGCTCATGCAGTTGGCATGGTGAGTCGATATATGCATAATCCAGGTAAAGAGCATTGGCAAGTAGCTAAGTGGATATTGAGGTATCTCCATGGTACTTGAGATGTTGGTTTATGCTTTGAGAGAGATGACTCTGGTATTGGTCATTTTGCAGTTGGTTATGTTGATTCAGATTATGCAGGTGATCTGGATGGAAGGAAGTCTACTACAGACTATGTGTTTACTATAGCTAAAGGGCCAGTTTGTTGGAGGTCCATTTTGCAGTCGTCTGTTGCCATGTCTACTACAGAGGCTGAATATATGGCAGTTGTTGAAGTTATAAAGGAGACCATTTGGATACATGGGCTGATTAGAGATTTGGGGGTTGATCAAAAGCAGGTGAAGGTACATTGTGATAGTCAGTGTCATTTATTTGGTTAAGTATCAGGTTCATCATGCGAGGACCAAGCATATAGATGTGTGTTATCACTTTGCGTGTGAAGTCATTGGTGAAGGAGAGATTATTCTCCAAAAAATTCCAACTAAAGATAACCCCGCTGATATGTTGACTAAGGTTGTTGGTGTAGCCAAGTTTGTTCATTGCTTGAACTTGGCTCACATTTTGCCTATATAAAGAAGGCGTTGAGCAGTAAGAGTTTTGGAGCATTTGGCTCGGCATGAGTTGTTCTCTTGCTAGTGTTTGGGAGTAATCTTTGTGTTGATTGTGTTGGTTGACTCGTCATAGCATTTTAAGGATTTGGCCAATGTGGAGATTGTTGAATTATGGCCAAATGACAAAACAACTTTCGGCTAAATAAAATAAACAAAAGGATGTAAACAACATCATTATGTTTGTTGAAAAAATAAAAAGGGTCATGATGATGTTTGTATAAAAAAAGGTAAAGGCTAGCAAGTAGCCTTATTATTGGTTTTGTTTTTGGGTGCTTTCAAAAGAATGAAGCTTAGCATCCGAATATGAGAGAGAAGAAGGTGAGCACCATTGGTTTTAGTAGCCATATAGTAATAGAAAAATAGATAACACATTGGTTTTTCAAGAGCTCCATTTTGGACGGAAGAAGAAAGTGTGCCATCTCATTGTTGAGTTCTCACTTCATCAAAGTTTTTATTTGTTGTAATAGCTTTGAGCTTTGTATAGATAAGAGATTATTCATTATATTTCTCTCTATTTGTTTCTTTGGTGTGTGAGAGCTATTGGTATATTGGGGTTTTGGGTTGTGAGCTTGTCAACACTTTGTAAACTCCCATTTGGTTGATAGTGGATTATTGGGTGAGCTCCGAGGACGTACTCCAATTCTAGTGACTGTTGAGGAACCTCGTTAAAATCTTGATGTCCTTTATATTTTGTTCTTGCATTCCATTTGATGGGTTAGCTTGAGTGGGTTCCAATTAGTTTGGTGCTATCCTAGCACAACACATATTGACTTCTTGAATAATTTTGGCCTCTCATAAATTTATCAAACCTCAAATATCATTGCCTTGGAGATTGCTTCAAGCCATAAAGTGATTTCTTCAATTTGCAAAACAAATTCTCCTTCCCTTTCATTGTATACCCATCCGGTTGACACATATAGATCTCTTCATTCAAATCACAATGTAGGAAAGTCGTCTTTACATCAAATTGCACAAGCTCAAGATCATACTGTGCAACAAGAGCTAACATAATGTGAATTGAGGAGTGCTTCACAACCGGAGAAAAGATTTCATTGTAGTCAATGTCTTCCTTTTGTGCATACCCTTTAGCAACTAATCTTGCTTTGAATCTCACGTTGATTTTCTCATCAGCACCTTCCTTCTTGGCATACCCTCATTTGCAACAGATAGCTTTCCTGCCCTTAGGCAATTTAGCTAACTGCCAAGTCTTGTTCTTCAAGAAAGAATTCATCTCATCACCCATGGCATTGCACCACCTCTCCTTCTCCTCACTCTCAATGGCTTCCTCGAAATTGGATGGAATATCAATGATAATAGGAATAGCAAAAGCAGCATAGTCACTATAACGAGCTGGCTTGGTAATTTGTCTCCTTCCTCTTTTCTTGGCAATAGACTCTTGAGGTGAAACTTGCTATTCAACTTGAATAGAATCTTCAAGTTCAACTTCTTCAACATTCTCATGGTCTCCAACTTCTTCACTTGTATTGGCTTCAACATCAGCGGAAATAGGATTTGAAGTACCAGAGGCAACTTTCTCAAGCTCCACATGTTGGACATCTTTCACCTTCTTCTCAAAGTCTTTGTACATACTTTCTTCATCAAATGTCACATCTCTGCTGATTACAAGTTTCTTCATCTCTAGGCACCACAACCTGTAACCTTTGACACCACTACTAAAACCAAGAAAGATAGCCTTTTTGGCTCTAAGATCAAGTTTATTTTCAATTACATGAAAATAAGCAGGCGAACCAAAAATATGAATATAATCATAATCAGTAGAAGGTTTCTTAGTCCATACCTCCATTGGTGTCTTACCCTGAATAGCAGCTGAGGGTAACCGGTTGATAATGTGACATGCATAAGTAACTGCCTCTGCCCAAAACGACTTGCTCAAACCCGACTGAGACAACATGCATCTAACCTTTTTAAGCAAGGTTCGATTCAATCTTTCTGCAACTCCATTTTGTTGTGGAGTTTCCCGAACACTAAAATGTCTCACAATCCCTTCCTCTTTGCAAACTTTAAAGAAAGGGTCGGATGTATATTCACCACTATTATCCGATCTCAAAATCTTAATCTCCTTCTAGTCTGGTTCTCAACCATTTTCTTCCAACTCAAGAAAATGTTCAATACCTCACTCTTGTGCTTCATAGTGTAGACCCAATACCTTCTTGAATAATCAACAAAGATCACGAACCAATGTCTACCACTCAAAGAGGAAGTCTTTGTAGGACCCCAAACATCCGAATGCACATAATCAAGAATGCCCTTCGTTTGATGTACGTACCAAACTTCACTCTAGTTTGCTTTCCCAAGACACAATGCTCGCAGAAATCAAGCTTACAAGTCGTGGCACCTTTAGAAGACATTTTTTTCACAAGCCCTTGTAGAGCTTTCTCACCGGCATGGCCTAATCTCATATGCCACAGTCTAGTAGTATCTGAATCAAATGTGCCCATATTTTCTGAGACTACAGATGCTTCACCTGTCAAGGTGCTTCTTTGCAATAGATACAAATGACCACATCGATGAGCTTTCATCACCACAAGTGCACCAAACCAATTGTTGTGCTACGATAGCACCAAACCAATTGGAACCAACTCAAGCTAACCCATAAGAAATATATCAAATGAAATGCAAGAACAAAATAATGAAGACACCAAGATTTTAACGAGGTTCCTCAACAGTTAGTTTAACTGGAGTACGTCCTCGGAGTAGTAGAAGCTCACCCAATACCAAATGAGAGTTTACAAAGTGTTGGCAAGCTCACAACCCAAAACCCCAATACAACTAATAGCTCTCACACCATAAAAACAAATAGAGAAAGAAATATAGTTATTAATTTCTTCTCTGTACAAAACTCAAAGCTATTACATTAATAAAACTTTGATGGAGTGAGAACTAAACAATGAGAGGGCACACTTTCTTCTTCTCTCCAAAATGGAGCTACTGAAAAAATCAATATGTGCTCTTTATTACTATGTGGCTGCCTTTGCTCTCTCAAAGATGGGCTACTAAAACAAATGGTGCTCTCCTTATTCTCTCTCACATTTGGATGCTAAGCTTCATCCTTTTTAAAGCACCCAAAAACAAAACCAATAATAAGGCTACTTACTAGCCTTTACCTTTTTTTTCTACAAACATCATCGTGACCCTTTTTATCTTTTCAATAAACATAATGATGTTGTCTACCTCCTTTTGTTTATTTTATTTAGCCGAAAGTTGTTTTGTCATTTGGCCATAATTCAACAAAACATCGTACATGTATTATGTATTATATTTATCGTTCCCATATGTGCAGAACATATGCAAAAGTACCAATCAATTAAGAAATGATACATGGGTATATCAATGTTAAATTAAAGTCAACCAATACGCCATTGGAGTAGAATTGATTCCTCTTGGTACATGGCCCAGACAAGGGTTGACCAGGGTCAACCACACCTAAGGAACTTCTCCGGCTAGCTCATTTCTTTGGACTTGATGGTCACTCTGTATATATATATTCACATATTTCATGCAAAACAAAGTGGAATATCTTCGCAAATAACAAAGGAAAATTTGAACACCCCATACAGGGTTCTGATTCGGCTGTACGTCAGAAAAAAGCTTATAAAACTGCTCAGAAGGTGACATAAGATACTGTAAGATAACAGCACTATAGTTCATTCATTGCTATTTTGACTACATATGCTTTTTCTTCCTCATAAATTACATTTCTAGGCTTGGCTATTGGTCTATGCCTTCACTAAAAAATTAAAAATTCTAGATATAGGCTAATGTTTCATAATTTACCAAGAAAACCACAAAAGAATGTCTTTCCACATCCAGATGCAAATGTTAAATTGCAAGATCCGTAAAGCTCTCAACAGGCAAATGAACTAAGGGAAAGCTTAATCACACAACCAGGGTGATTACTGCATGCTTCTACTTGGTTATTCATAGCCTAACTAAAAGATAAACAGTCTTCAACAGAAACATAAGGTAATGAAGGAACATGCATTTCCGTATAGAATCATTTAGATTAGTAGATTACTCAGGGGAGAAAATAAGTAGGAACTTGCCTGCAACTATCAAGGAAGCTTCAGCCAGATCAGGCCTTGAAGCATATCCCCTTCGAGCATATGCAGCAAAGCAAAAGCTGAAATTGCCAGGTCTACATTCTTTTCCTCTCAAAACAATTCATAGACAGAAAATTTAGCCTGGAATGAGAAAACCAAAGCAGGAAAAAAAAAAGTAAATTACCATATGAAATTCTTTGAAGAAAATCTTCAAAGTTATGGTTAGATATAGAATCATAAAGGAAGTATAAATGTAAAACCAAAAGGCACCAGCAGATATACAAACATGTTCACTACTTGTAAGAATTGGCTGGTTCATTAAACTGATTCACGTTGACAGCTGGATAAAGAACAGCTGGCTCAATCCCTCGTGCGTCAAGATGCTTAAATTTCTTCGCAAACATAGATGCTGTGAGTTTGCTGTTAACAAGAATCTTATCTGCCATTCCTGCAGCAGTATTTATCAAAATGAAAAAGGAAATCTAGTAAGAAACAGTAGTACATCCACAACAAAATAACACTGAAAAGATACACAAGAAAAAGTAGATGAATGTCATAAAGCCGAGATATGGAATCAGACCAGTTGTCATTTCTTCTATGAAATCTATGGTTTTCTATATATCCTCCTCAAAACAGTTGTGTGCTGAGCCAGCAATAAATCCAGACAATGACAATAAAACAAAACCTGGACAGAAAGATGTAATACATTGAACAACTCTACTACCAGAAGCTACCAGATAACAATTCACATGAAATAGGAGCAAATTCCTTTGTTGCCTTCTTAAGCTTCAGCAGTGGGATGACAACAGAAACCTGATCTGCTAGTATTACATCAAACAATGGCCACATGAACAGCATGCAGAGAGCAACAAAGCACCATATATATGCACACAAAGCATGGAGTCGATAGAATATATGTCGGGGTAGGAAGGCACAATATACAGTAACTGGAAAGATACCTGTGAAACCAAATGACAGAAAAACATCAAACTATGCAGTGATCTTAAATGACAGTTGATCAACGTGAAACTGATAAAAATTAAACGAAAGAAAGGAAAACATGTTCTATTTGTTCCAACTTTTATACATTCCCAAAGGGCATAAAGGAAGCAAAACGTAAAAACCACCTTCTAACCCCCAGGCCTAACATCCATCTACATACGCAGTACCCAATTTGATGAAGCTCCCATTTACCACATTAGAATGTGAGCATCCAACCCAAATCCAATTTGTAACAGGTGGAGAGGCCCAAGATAATGAAAACCACTTATGCAGGCAAGGGTTTCATTCCCCGACGTGGGACTCACACCCTCAACAGGCAGGTCTGTATTTTTAATTATGTTTCTCATAGATTACACACCCATGAGCGGTAGGTCTCGGGTTCGAGACTTGGGAGCAGCTTCTCCATAAATGGGGGTAAGGCTAGCCGACATTCACCTCTCCCAGATCTGCGTAAAGCGGGAGCCTTGTGCACTGGGTACGACCTTTATAGATTACACACCCCAGGACTACCTGGTGTGAAATTATTTCTCCCTAAAACAATGCATACTATTTTCTGTGCACACAAACAAAAAAGGAAGTAGAGAAAGCCACACACCAGAAACGGAAGCATGGGATGCAAGTTCGACAGCCGCGTCGACGATCAGTTTTTCAGCTCCACCTACCCATCACATTCACAACATAAAAATCTCAATCCCAACAACTCCTTCACAAAAACAACAGAAGGAAAAGAGAAGAAGAAGAAGTTACCGATGCCCCGATCGGGATGAATAATTGCAACGTTCAACCTGGAGCCTCCTTTCTTCCCCGCCATTTTTTCGGCTCCTTCTTTCTCCCCAATTCTCTGCAGATTCTAATTCAAAATCTCAAACAGGAGAAACCATTTCTGCTATATTGGGCCGAAACGGGTCGGGTGTGGTTCTTCCACAACGCGCCCCCAAAGGCCGAATAGGACGTAAATCTACGACCTCAATAAAGGAATAGGGTCCTACACGGATCCTCATGTGAGGATGACCTCATCATGTCCGTTCATCTATCATTTTGTGATTATAAATTATTTTAAATTTTTTATTTAAAACTGAACACAAACAGTATATAACGAAAACTAGTCGGTATAATGAACGAACACGATAAAGTGATCTCTAAGATCCTCACAAAGAGGATCCGAAAAGAGCTAATATAGTCTCGTTCAGAATTATAGCCTTGCAAAAAAATATTTTTAAATGAACAATATCAGACCCTACTCTTATATCATCTTCAACCAAAGGGGCTAAGAGTACCCCCCACAATAATTTATTAGTTTTAAGTTTTATACTTTAAATTTATCGATTAATTTAATTAAACTACCTTTAGATGTTTTTAAATCAAGTCGTTAAATTTGAATTAATTATTGTCTAATTGCCATATTAAATCACATGGAAAATCTAGAAATAATTCATGCAATTATGTATCAAAGTAATGCATGCACATGAGTAATTAATGTTAAATGAATATGATATAATGGATTAGAAAAACCTAGAAAATACGGTCGAGGCAAGTGTTGGACACTTTGTCCTTAAGACAAGTTTACGCCCCACTACGGTTTTCATGGTTGGTCGGCGCATGTGTCCCAAGATACAACAATCACGTCCTTGTAATAGTAGCACTCCAAATCACAAGGCTCCATGAACTACAATTATGTTGAAAACTCTCTCATATAGAATCAATGAGACTCTCTAATATTTAGTGCACTCTATATATGATTATGTAAACAATGAAAAGTTATTTTGTGATTATAGGGGGCTTCCCTATTTATAGAATGTGAGATACCTCTTTGGAAAGCATGTGACTATTCATGAAGAGTCAAAAGTTGCAAATCTTCATTTGAGTAGACATATCCTTCTACCAAAAGGCTCCACTTCTAATTTCCAATCAATTAATAAATTTAATTTAATAATATTATTATTAAATCTTCCAACAATTATTGCATTTGAGGAGTTGTGCCCCAAAAAAAATGTTAAGAGGGGCTATGTTTGGCTAGCCTGATGCCCCTTTGGGCAAATAATGGTCTGATAGGCTCCACAAAATTATAGCCTAGCCATTGGTTGGAGAAAATCAGGTCATTTTTTTGGCTTTTAGACCTTGAGCCCTCTCTATTGGAGATGGCCTAAGAGAAGGAGAGGTTGGACCACACATGGGCCAATCATAACTCGAGTTTGAACTTGACACAAATGTTATACGTCCTCAATATCATATGTTAGTTGAATTTAAAATATCTCACTTACAAGTAAAAATGAATACTACTAAACCTTCGTACTAGTTGTTGGCCTCATTTAGTTATTGAGACAAACACACTTGTAACCAAAGTTAGTGATTGATTCATAAAATCTTTATTATTGCACCCAAAAAATCCAGTGAGGACCTAAGTTGAGAACCTTAACTTGAAAATTACATGTGGGATCCAGTTTGTAATATTTCATAATTTGAATCAACTATTTTTAGGGTCAGTTTGGGAAGAGCAACTTACTTGGCATGGACTATGACATCATGTACCAATGATACAACATCATGTGGATAGAAACTTACACGTGCCGTTATACCATTGGCACAGGACATCACGATAATAGTGTACTTGTATTATGTAAGTCATCCAATTTAGAGTAATTTTTTAAGAGTCAAAATACTTGAGAAGAGATTACATAAAGAAACGCATTGAAAGTGTTTTTTCCACAGAGTGATTCTAGCCCTCTTAAGAACACTCTCAAATGAGCTGAATCACACTTCAGAGTAACCTTTTAAAGGACATAAATTATCAAATGCACACCATATGTAAATAAATAGGTACGGAATATACGACCCTTGTAGTTTGTCTATTTTGAGGAGAGCAACTTATATAGATTGGCTACACCACCACAGTAGCGTCCCAGTTCAATCACAAAATGTCATGTATCAATCTAGTTACGACATTGTGTTATTAGGCCGAGCGCTACCGTGATGTTGTACCAAGTCCATCTAAATCATTTTCCTATTTTCAGGGACTATCAAAGATTGTTCACACAAATCATTCAAATCGAAAATGAAGTACTTGTTAAATTCGAATAAATAGACGGACATTGTGCACTTCATAAACCCAACGAAGACGTTCCACAATCCTCAAACCAACAAACGATGCAGTGAGGCACACCATTAGCTTCACGTCTCGTCCATTTCCGCTGGAAATCCTCAAATACGTGCTGCTTATGTGATTGTCAACAAGAGACGATAGAGTTCCCAAGCACCCGTAATTATTTCACCGTGCAAGCATGTAATAAGGTTGGAGAACCCCAAACTTGCAGCAAGATTCAAGCCTTCAATAGCAGCACCTCCTCTGAAAATACCCAACTCATCTCGAATCACTACTCCGAAGCCAGCGCTTTACAAAGAACACCAAGCACCATCAGAATTCACCTTAACAAAATTCCATCAGCAGGGCACCAAAACTCATTAGTAGCATTAATATGTGGAGCCTCATGTCTCAAGAAAGCCGATGGCTGCACAGTCCTATAAACCTCAAACGCCTCGCCGATTATCTAAATTACTCTCTTTGGCTCTAGCAGCACATCATTGAACAAAAACGCACACCTTGCTTTTCAAATCTCCCACAAGTAACGCTAGCTAGCGAATGAAAAGTGTCCAGCTGCTCTCCCTTTGCCCATCTCGAATTTTTTTCAAAACCAAGAGTGGTAACTTCATTATTTTTCATCCTGTAATTCATAGTACCAAAGTCCATGCACACTGGACATAGGCCATTTGAGGTGATATGCCAGCTAGAAATATTCTCTCATAAGGAACTCGAGGAAGGGCTTTAATCTTCCTTAAATCTTCCAAACTGTGGAGTTGTTAATAAGTACAATAGCAGTGTCACCGAATGTGGCCTTCAGCTACAATCCTTTATAATTTGCATGACGATGGTCTTTTTCAGCTCAAATTTAAAAAAAAAAAAAAAAAAACATAAATAAGAAGAAGAGTGCGGTATTTTACACTACAATGTCAAGGTACCAAACAAAGTAGAAAAACTTCTAGTAAGTCATCTAAACATTCCCACCATTTGACAGCGGTATGTAACACGTTGATTCCTTCAGAAATCTCCAAATAGTTACTTGTAACTAGACCATGAAAGAAATCAACGTAAAACTGCAACTTATACTGAATTACTATGTACGAGAAATAAGAGCTAAGCCTATGATCTTCTATGGATTTTCTTGACCAAGAGGTAAAGACCAAAAGAATCAGACCACAACCAAAAAGGATGCTGAAAGAGCTATACTTTATGTGAGGATGGTATCATTCACCTTCATTTCCATAACTCAAATTAACAAGTTTTTATTGAGACGGTAACATGATTAGCAACAATGACAGTTTGAAGACTAAACCATATCAATATATAACACCTACTACATGCCTTAAACAAGTAGAACAATACAAAACTAACTTAAATCTTTACAGGACCGCATCCTACATCCACAAAAATCTCCGTTATTCAAAAACTAAACTCGATAGATAGGGGTTTTAGTATTTTTCCATAAAACTAAACAAAAGGGCAAGGGAGATCTCACAAGGTTAGAGTGCTTCAAAGGTCTTCTTGTAGAGTGTTGACTAAGCACGGGATGTCTCTCATGATCCAGTTAGTGCACACACAGACAGCACTTGCACTCTGAAGCTATTAGTGCCTTCCCAAATCAATATGGTCTCTTCCTAGCCCAAGTGAGGAAGGCTCTAAGGAAGCTTCTGACCTCCTCAAATCTATTTCCAGTTCCTTCTGTCTCAGTTGCAGTACCCTTCTCTCGTTCTCTAATTTCATTCTCTCATTCTCTAGTCTCAACCTCTCCAGTTCCCTGTCTTTCTTGCTACAATATCTTAGCCATTTATACCTCTGCTTCTCAATCTCCAAAGCTTCAGCCTGGAAGCTGACTCTTTGCTCTTGGAGTTGCTGCTTCTGTTTCTTGATCCAATCTCTTCGCTCCCATAAAGACTTCGTTGGGTCTTGAAAAATCTCACCCATTTCAACTTGAAAACTATCGAGAAGAACATATTGCGGCCACAAATGGCCATCTTCTTCCCTAGCCCTCTTCATCTCACCCATTTTTCTCATTCTCTCCCTATCGTTATTGGCATCATTATCATCTTCATTGTCTAATTCATCATCCTCACTATCATGGTTTTCTTCAGCTTCTTCTTCTGCGGATCCATTATCGTCTTTCGAGCACCTCCCAAGAGGTAGAGAATAACCATGGTGATCGAGATCTTGGCAGTCAGGTGTCCTCTGTCCATTATGATAAGCACACATTTCTTTATAAAACAAGTGTTTTGAGCTCAGTATCTTCCTAACGTCATCCTTCAACTTGGCAGAGAGGTGGGGCATTGCATCCATAAGAGCAGGATTCTCTACCACTCTACAACTAGTTCCTCTCCCGAGAATATCGTTCAACCTCTTATACCTTTTGTTCAAGTCATTAAACTTGTCTTCACACTGCTGAGGAGAGACATGACAACCTTTACTAATCATTAGTTTTGACACAGTCTTCCACTTACCCTTCTTCTGTAATATCCCAGATTTCCTCTTAAGCCCCTCACCGCCTTCAACCGAACCATCATCACCCACGCAAGCAACAACATCTATAAGAAGCCTGACCACATTATCTGTCCACTTCATTCGCTGCCACGGACATCCCTTTTTGCCCTTGGCACCCTCAATGCTCTCATCATCTGTATAATTTTGTTCATCTTCATCACTTAAGTTGTAACCGTTATTGGCATTAAAGGAAGCAACAACCTTCCCTTTGCCAATAATCGAACCAACTTTTGGGATTGACCCTTTCACTTCCACAAGCCCAATGGGATGGCGATCGCCTGCAACGCCCCCCATCACATTCATGTGATGTTGTTGATGTCCTAACAATTGATGACCCAACTGCATCTCTTGGCGTCTAGGAACCGGCGATTCAAGGTCTAGTATCCCCCCACTAGGACCAGACAAAAACCCACCTCCCAACTCTGAACCATCCATCTTGCCACACTCAATCACAATGCCCTAATATCCAATTTAGTTTTTAACAAAAAGCAAGAGAAAATCGGAAACTCAAAGTATGATCCTGAAAATCAACTCAAACTCCATATGCAGACAGTTGGCATATCTCAGCTGTCGACTAAGAACAATTAGGAAACAAAAAATTCCCATAACCAAGTCTGATGCAACTTGTTGGTTTACCAGAGAGGCTTTTTCATCTACTAGCACCGAAAACAATGGAAAGGTTTTAACACTCACAGTTTCTTTCGCACTCCTCCATTTTCTCACCAACCAAACAGATGGTATCTCGAGATTCCCATAATGCCCAATAGACCAACTAATGGCTATCACTCAATGCCTATTCAGGGATATATCTCGACACCCAAAACTTGTGACTGAATGTAAACCGAACCCTGAAACTCCAAAAAGATCCAATCTTGATGTTTACCAAGTTGTGGAAATTTTCCTAGAAAGTTGAACAAGGAGTTATAACACTAATTGATCCAAAGTCCAAACATGAAGAGTAAATTAATCCAAATTCCAAATATAGACTCCATATCAAAGAAAAAGCATAGATTTTTGGAAGCATATATACCTTTTCAAGATCGAACACGAGGACTTGTACCAATCAGTGAAGAAAGCTTGAACTGAGGTTTGAGAGAGGTTTCAGCGACGAGTTAAAAGTGGTGACCAGTTTTAAACTGTTTTGAGTTTGAATCGAACGAGTTAAAAGTAGAATGTACGAAGAACTCACCGCCGTTTATTACATTGACTGTCTGTAGCAGAGTCAAATGCAATGAACAGTGGTGGTTGGTAGTACGATGTTATCCTATTGGTTTCTTAAGACGGATCCTTTTCCAATGGATACTAGCATCCGTGATCTCATCCATTCATCGTATATCGTACAGTTATAAATTATTTTAAAATTAAATATAAATAGTACATAACGAAAATTGATCGCATGTTATACAATGAACGAATGAGATCACAGAATTCTTAGGATCCTTAGGAAAATAATCCGACAAGGATCCTTGACATCACCGTAAGTTTCGAAAAAATAAAAATAGGAAAAATAAAATAAAATGTGCGGGCTTGAGGCAGATCGAGGCGAGGATGTTGAAATCTTTTTTGGGTAAATGCTACAAGACAAAATTTACGAAAGTGTCAATTTGCAAACATAGACCAAGCGAGTAAAGGTTTTTTTTTTTTTTTTTTTTTTTTTTAAATTCTTGTGATTGTGTTTAGATTTGACTTTTTCCAATACGATTGCGGATTAAGGAAGGAATGCATGATGGTCGAGGTTTCTCCGTGCCTTGAGCACAACAATTTTTGAACGAGCGTAAAGTGTGTTGTTCATGTGGAAGTGAAGTATATTTGTCTCTAACGGATGTGAAGCATGTTGTCTTTGACGGACGTGAAGATTGTTGTCTTTGGCGAATGTGATATGGATTTGGGGATGATGTAATCACTGAATTGATGAGAAATCACATCAACCTAGACAAACAGATGAATGAATCGAAATGATAAGTAATCAATTTACAATGCTCCTATTGCAAGCTGTTGGGCACCTTTTTGCCGAGTTGGGTATGGACCACGATAGAAACTGTCTACCCTCCTGGTTGGTTTTTGGCCCGAGTCTTAAAATACTTTGAAAGAATTAGCACGTTTTAAGAAGTATTCCAGTTGAATCAATGACTCTAATTTAGCAATGATTGCATGATTATGTAAATTGTAACTTGCCTAAATGAAGCGTAGCGTGAAAGCTAAAAGTTCAATGTTTTAGTGAGAGAGAGAGAGAGAGAGACTATGCGTGCATGCATGGTTAAAAGATAGCTAATCTAGGATTTCTAATTCTTTGGCAGTTTTACAGAGACTAAGGAAGCTTATGGGGAAATCCAAAATGAAAGGAAAGCTTATCCTTAAAAGAACTAAGGTTTCCTGCACATAGAGAAAGTTTGCTCTGCTTGGTGCATTCTTGCCCTTGTCCTAGTTGTCATCATTCCTCCTCCTTGTTGCGTTATTTTTCATTTTATTGGTGTAGGGATCCTTTCCGGTTTCACCTAGGGAATCCCTTAGTTTCCTTATTTCTTCCTATTTTGGCTAATTCTTCTCTTCTTCTTCCATGGGCACATCTATAGCATTTGTCTTTGGTGTAACATTGAAGAATGTTACTAGCCTTGTGACGACTGGGTTGAACACACTACCCATAGTGTTTTCTTCCAGCATTAGTACACAGACTCTATCTTTGGCAACGCTCCTCCTTGTTTTCCTTTCTTGTTTTTCTATGTAATCTTGGAAGGGAAGTGTTCCTTTTCTCTCTATTAATGAGGCGCGCAGCTCTATATTTGAACGTGATCTTGTAGGCGGTCCAGTTTTGGGTTTGGTTGTTTCATAAATGTCCTATTTGGTTTGTAAGGTAAAGAGAAAACTTGGTTTGTTCTCTCTTAAACTTTCCCACGTGAAGCCAAAGATTATGGGTTGGACTTTTGGTGCTCCAAGCATCCCAATGTCTTCCACAACCCTCGTTCCACGTAAGGCCAGTAAACTTCCACAACCATCCACACTACGATCCACTTGGTAAGCCTCAAGATGTGGCTTGGGCCCACTTTAACATGTAGCGTGGTTGGCGTGATTTATTTACAACGTTAGCATTGTAATAGGGTTTGGTGTGATAAACATGTATGAATATGCACGGGTTTAGCGTGATTATACAAATGTCCAATTTATATATTATCTGTTTTTTGCATGAATTTAAGCTTGGGTTGTTACACTTCTATAGTTGGGCTTTGAGATATGATTGGACTTGTAGGTGATTTTTGAAACCTTGACACAAGCATTTAAAGAGAAAAAAACTAAATGGCGATAAATTAAAGTGCAATCAAATTTTTTTGTTAAATGATAGATTCAATTTTTTTTGTCAAACGATAGATTTGTTAGATTAGAGAGCCGACGGGATTTGAAACCATGCTATGATGCAAGGACAACGCTCCTCTCCATCACTGTGGTAGAGGATCACTTGCTAAAGTGCAATCAATTTAAATGGTAAAAAATAATTAATTGATTTGTAAGAAAGAAAAACAAATTTATTGTCGCACTCAAAGAATTCCACGTATATGTATTTCTTTTGTTGAACAAATTACTTCCATTAAAAAATAAACAAATAAAAAAAAAAAAAAAAAAAACTAGTACAAGGAAGAGAGAGACCAAAAGACATCCAACAACAGGAAAAAAGAAAAAACAATAAAAAGGCCCTAAAAGAGATAGCTAAACAACAACAGATAGAGTAAAAAACTCAAGCAAAATGAGAGCTCCAACCCAAGATACAACGGGAGACACACACATACTTAGGCCCCTAGGCAGCAAGAACAAACAACAAAAAAAACTCTAACCTTAAGCAGTATAAGCCTACGCGCCATCACCAACACATCCTTGAAAGAAGTCAAACTTCTAACTGGGAAAGTAAACACCGAATTCAAATCCCTTTCACGAACCCCTTCAAATATACACAAAGAAAGTACCATATGGATAGAAGTGAGGTTAAGGGAGTATGTAAAATACCTTTACTATGGTTGAACTGCAGAACACATGGCCTCGATGGGGGAGAGAAAGTGAGAGAGGGAAGTGGATTTAATATCCAATTTTGAATCAGTGACCGCATATCCGAGCACATGATGGGGTGATGATGGAATATCATGGCTAATAAAGAGGGATGAAAGAAAAGCAAATAACAAAAAGAAGTAAAAGCAAGCGAAAAACGCCGGATGAAGGGCATGGCTCAGAAGATAATTGAGACCAAGCTCAAAGAAAACTGAGATAAAACTAAAAAAAAAAAAATCGAAATAAAAGAGGGGAGAAGACTGGAAAGAGGGGGTGGCATGTTGTAAAAGGGAATGGACAGAGGAGTTGGGAAGGAAAAAAGAGGGAAAGGGCAGAGGACATGGGAGTGAAGGAGGAAAATAGAAGGGTATAGCCAGCCCCCCAGGGAGGGGGGTGAGAGGGGGGCGAGGATTGCCACTGGCACCCAAGCCAAAGGATAAGGCCGGCGGCGAACAGTTTCCTGGGTTTATGTTCAATAAGGACTAAACGCAATCTAAATTGGAAGAGTTTCACTTCAAAACCAGAACAAACTAGTTAGATTTTGACAAAAAAATTCTAAGGAAACCAAAGCAATGTCGAACGGTTTTTTCGTGTGGATTGGGCATATTCACAAAAAAAAAAAAAAAAAAAAAAGTCAAAAGTTTTTGCCACTTAGAATTACGGGTGGATTTTTTTGCCAAATTGCCAACTGTACCATATCGATAATGGCACGGTATTGTACTGAAACTAAATTTTGTGGTACGGTATTGGTATTCAATACCATTACTGATGGTATTAATGTATCATACAGAAAATATATTTTATATAATATATATAATATTTTAATAATAAAAATGGTATTCAACTTCAATTCTTGTTCTAAATGCTACTAATAAGTTCAATGCCTCCAATTTTTATTTGGTTTGAAAATTTAATTTCTATTTGAATTTTAAACTTAACTTCTATTTGATTTGGTTTGTAACTTCTATTTGGATTGTAATATTAATTTCCATCATGAATCTTAATGCGTCATTTGACTTATTATACATGTATGAATTGTGAATAATGAATGATTGATGAATTTAGGCTACCTTATATGAGATAGAGGCACAAAAATGGTCTTACCCTTGAATTGGTTGAAAAATAAAATAAAATGTTGGCCAAGAAAAGTGGCTCAAAACAAAATGACAATTACCATTACCATACCATACCAATCGAACTACTTGACATATCGAAATTTGGTATACTGAAAGTTTGGTGCAGTAGTGATAATAGATTTTGTCAAACCAAAAATTTGGTACGGTAATTGGCATAGAGGTTTTGGTACTGTAATCATACCGAACCCATCCCTAATTAGAATAACAAAATCCCTTAACTTGTTATATGTTTTAATTTTCTAATACGTCAAACCATCTTAAAATCCAATATTTCCTTGACAATTTATTTCCTTTTCAATCCGAGGCTCCGATAACAAGAGCTTGACATTTTGCATACACTTTTGCACTCTTATCACTTGAATGAGGGAAGGAGATTTGAACATGGGATATAAGAAATCAAACGACGCCAAAATGTCTCCCACTAAACTCATATTTGTTTGGTTAATATTTTAGTCAAAATTGAAGCTTTAGACCCTAACTTTGATTGAAATAGAACTGTAGTCTTTGAATTAAAATTAGTCCATCCCAACTTATGCCCTTTATTTGCCCTTTGAACGTTTTATTTCGGATGAAAGTTCTAACAATGTTACAGCAAAAAGACCATTATTTCACATTATTAGAATCCTTCATTTTGGATGAAAATTCTAATAATATTACGACAGAATGACTATTATTCCACATTACTACAAATTCAAGAACAAATACACATAAATTTTTAGTTGAGGACGAAAGTCCAAAGACCAGTCTCTCCAATCCCCTCTTAATACGACATGTCATTTCTTGTTCGTTTCTGTCTTCCAAGGAGAGGAGATATTCTTTTGGGCCATGACCCAATCTCCCAGGCATCTTTCTCTTCTCCTCTTTCCATTCCACCCAAAAACCCAAACCTTTCATTTCATTTGCTCCGAAGAGATGGCTATGTCCAGCCTTCTCTCTCCCACCACCCCTCTCACCGTCACCCTCTCTCACTCCAAACCCCTCCTCCGCCTCCACTCCCCCTTCCTCTTCTCTC